AAGAAGAAGAAGAAGAAGAAGAAGAAGAAGAAGAAGAAGAAGAAGAAAGAAAAGCCAAACAAAGTAAGAATAAGGAGTTGATAATGTGCTTCTTTGGCTGGAGAATGTTGAGAAGCGCAAGAATGTAGCAACTCCTCCACAGACTGAAAATGAAGTATTAGAGGGAGCGAAGGTTTCTGTTTTGAGACAGGGTCCCAGTAGCCTTGGAGTGGCTTTGCCCTAATCCTCTGGCCTCATCCTCCCAAAGTGCTGGGAGTGCGTTCCATGCCTGGCGCTGTCGACAGAGCTGGGTTCTAACCCTAGAACCGAGCTTACTACTCCAGCCTTGCTGGGGTTGCTTGGGTTTGGTTGTTTGCTTTGCTTTACCTTTTTTGGTTTTGTTTTAGTTTTTTGAGACAGGGTGTCTCTGTGTAGCCCTGACTGTCCTGGGACTCATTCTGTAGACCATGCTGGTCCTGAACTCAGAGAGATCCCCCTGCCTCTGCATTTGTTGATTTTTTAACTTCATGTGTTGTGTCTGATGAGCAAACTCGGGTCAGGCCTGCACACGGTGCTTTTACTCACCCAGCTGCTCACCACTGCCGTTCCATAGCCACGGGAGAGCCTGGCCGTCCTTGCAGATAGCAGGGAATAGAGGGGAGGTGGTTTTTCACCGGTCAGGTTAACAAAAGTCACATTTCAGAGTATATTCTTGGCAAGACAGTCCTGAATATCCATGCCATTTTACCGGCACCCACAAACGTAAAGAGCCGAGTGTGTGCAGACGTGGCTTTTTGTTGCATTCTTTTATTACGTGTGTTTATTATGTGAGGTGGGGAGTGTGTGCCACAGTGCACGTGTGGAGGTCAGAGGGCAAGGTGGTAGGTGGTTTTACCGTGTAGGCTCCTGGGATTGAACTCGGGTCCTTAGGCTTGATGGCAAGCACGTGTGCTGGCGGAGCCATTTCTCTGGCCCTCATTGTGTTATTTAACTAACCAATGGTGGAAACTCAAATACCCATTAATCAGTACTCAGAACCAAAACCTGAATTTCATCAAGCCTCTGGACTTCAGCAACATACAAAATGTGTCATCCAACAGTTATAATCGGGAACAATGCTGCTTCGTCATTAGAGAATGAAATTTCTCCTTAAATTTATGAGCACTAGACTGCATGTGACTACTGAACGTGTGTTGGTGTGAATGCGTGTGTGGACAGTCTCCCTAATTCTTCATAGAACCTGGGCTTTGTTGATTAGCTAGGCTGGCTGGCCAGTGAGCTCTGCCTCCCAGTGACAGCACAACTTTGTGCCTCACCTTTTTTGGTTGGTTGTTTTTATAATAGGTTGGGGGATCTCTCTAGCCCTATAAACTGGATGTTTAATTAAAAACATTTCTTTAAAGGAAAAATAATTTAATAGCAAGGAATTTAGCTCAGTGGTAGATAACATCCTTAAGTGCATCCCCCAGGTGAAAAAAAATTAGGAGAATATATGCTAAATATTTTTACATGAAATACTATTTCTGTATTTACTTCAAAATAATTATAGGGAGCCTGAATGGGAATTGACAATTTTAAAACTGATACAGGGGTTTTCATAACGTTTTTCTATCTTCACAAGTGTTCAAAGTCTTCCACGTAAAAAGAAGATAAGCCAGGCAGGCACGGTGGTGCACACCATCGCTGGAGGTGGAGGCAGGTGGATCTGCACTCAAAGTCACCCTGGGCTACCAAGGAAGCTTGGGTTCAGCCAGCATAATAGATGTTGTGTTCTCCACCCCGCCCACGCAAAAAAAAAAAATAAAACAATTGTTCGAACTAGAGAATGATTCCTATGAGCCAGATTCCAGTGAGGAGCCATCATTTTGCATGTAATACCTTAATATTAGTAGCACATGCAGAAGGATAAGGCTTGTTTTTTAATTTGTTCCACTCCTGTAGGCTGGCTGTTCAGGGCTGGCATTGAACCACACTGCGCTTCCTGTGTTACAGGCAAGCACTATACCACTGAGCTACACGGTTGTCCCGGCATTCAGGAGGCAGGGGCAAGAACAGATCAGGAGTTCAAAGCCAGCTTTGGCCAATACAAGTTTAAGGCCAGTCTAATCTCAAGAAAAAAAAAAAAAAAATCCCAGATTTGGATGGCCTGAGGTGTGGCTAGAATACCAATTATTACTCCTTTTTTACTCTTCTGGAAGGTATGGACAGTTCTTAGCACACAGTCAAATGTCCACATCTGTCTCGGTCTGCCTCTTCCTTGAAAGCAAAGCCCTCCAGGTGTCTGAAGGCCCACTGACTGGCAGGACCCCTGGGCCAGGGCACCCCTACAGGAGCAAGGCCAGCGGCAACTGAACAGTCTGAAGAGACAGGACACAGAAGCTACTGGCACTGGAAACAGTCAACTTTAGCATTTATTAATCCAAAAATATATTAAAGTCTGCTTTCTACCCCAGCTTCTTAGCCTCTGAAGGGGCAGCTGCCAGTCCGGTGTGTCTGGTGACAGCCTCGTCAGGCAATAATGGGAAAGACTCAAACCAGGGACTCCCCACATCAGGCCCAGTCTCTGCAAAAGGCCCACAACCCTCTTTGGTGCTTTTTGCTAAAGGAATTGGGGCAACCATAAAAGTTGGCCCTGGGGGAGAGGGGAAACTGGATCGAAGGTTCCAGGTGGTGGTGGTCCCTGCCTCCCACTGGGCCTCTGGCTGCATTTCTTGAGAGCCAGGCAGATTGATCACCAGAAGACTGCTCAAAGTGAGGAATGTTGGGGAGAACGTGACCTCAGGCCTCTCTTCTGTGTCCTGACTGCTTCCAGAAGACTCTGAGCCCCACAGCCAGTGGGGTCTGCTGGGGCCACTACAGAGCCATAACGGTGTACAGAGCTGCTGCAGGCCACCGTCTGTAACCTCGTTACTGCATGCCAGCTGGGTGCATGGGCCAGGGCCCCTGGCCAGCATCAAGGCCGGCCACAGGAGGGACCTGGGCCATGGGCTGCAGCCGCTGCTGGGACTGCCAGATGTGATGCAGCTCCTTGAACTGCTGCACCATGTGGTCTTTGAGATCCGGGTTCGAGATCTGCAGGCGGATGCTGTCTGCAGACCAAGAAAGCTCCCCTGCGAACATCTCCAGCAGCAACCGGGCTGCGACAGGTACCACCTGGAGCAGGGGGACATGGAAAAGTGTGGCCGAGCCGTTCAGCCCAGGTGGGCGTAAAGACACCCAGAGGTCGATGCTGGCCATCCCCTCCAGCCCTGGCAACCAAGTCATCCTGGCCTGGAGGGCTGCACCTCTCCCCTGGACCGAGGGCCCAGCCCCATGCCGCCGATAGCCAGGCTACAGCAGAGGTGGCTAGGGCGCACCTGCACGGTGATGAGCTTCTTCTCTCGGGGCTTGAGGTCAGGCCACTCTTCTCCAAAGCAAAAGAAGATCTCAAAAGGAGGCGGGCTGTTGGTCTGGCCCTTCTGGAACAGGATGAGTTCTGCATCAAAATTAAGGCCTCCAGTTAGAGGTTAGAACCCCACCCTGAGTGAGGGACGGCCGGGGCAGCACGGAATGGACCTCACCATTGAGAAACTGCTCTAGGCTAAAGAGCTTGGTCTTGACTTCCCTCTGGATGGGGTTGGGGCATGAGCCATTGGCTATGGCGCAGGGCCCACTCCAGAACACCTTACACTGGCACAGACGGATGGCGTACAGGTCCTGGCCCTGCAGCTGGAGGATGAGCCCACGGTCCAGGACATCCAGCAGCTGGTTGGTATAGAAGCGCTGCTTCTCGCTGGGGATCTCCTCTGGGCTAGGGAAGCGCACCTGCTCCAGGCTCACGGGCCCGAAGAGCTCCACTTGCTCCTGGGTAGCCTCCAGCTGGCTGTAGAAGAGCCTACAGCCTTGTGGGTTGCTGATGGTGAGAGCGCGGGGCGGGCGCCCCCGGTACTGGAACTTGATCTCTAAGTCAGTCACTGCGGAGCAGAGAATCGGGTGACCTTGGCTGTGAGCCCCACGGCTCTTCTTAGGCAGCCAGCCTCCTCGGTGTACCCCTGACCCAGGAAGACTGACCAATCAGCCTGTTTTCCTTGCCTTCCTCCTTCCTCGCCCACCCTGCTCCAGCCCCGCTGCTGCTCTGCCCGGCCAGCCCGAATGGCCCACCAAAGTCCTTACAAGGCAGCATGTGCGGACTGGTCAGCAGGTCAGGCAAGAGTTGTTCTGTAGGGGCCAGGCTGGGGGCCAGAGGTCCAGGCTCCAGGTCGGCAGGAAGAAGCGGCCTGAAGCCAGCAGGATTTCCACAGGGAGGGACCGCGAGATTGGGATCTGGGGCGGGGGGGCCCAGCCCTACCGATGGCTGGAGAGCGGGTGGCCACTTGATGTCTTCCTCGGGTAAGGAATAGGGTGCTAGGGGAGGTCCGGGCAGCACAGGTTCTGCAGAGGGTAGGTGAGCACAGCTGTTAGGGACTGACTGACAGTGACTAACAGGCCTGACTCCAAGGCTTGCCTCCCCAGCCTCTCTCAGTGCCCTCCCAAGCACCTAGGGTGCCTGTCACTGCTTAGACTAGACAGCCCGCCCCAGCACACCAACTCCCAGCCCCACCTGTGATGCTCAGGCCTGGTAACATTCTCTGGAGCTGAAGAGGAAGACAGGGGCAAAGGAGGATGGACAGGTTATTAAGTTGGTCGGATGCTGAGGCAACCCCCAGCTTCAGCTCAGTGGAGGCCAGACCCCACGGCTGGCCCCAGGTCTGCCATCCTCGGGGGCCGTGGGGATGCCCCTCTTTCCAAGGGTGCGTTCTGCAGGCAGTGGTACACCCCCCCACACACACACACACAAGCCCAGCCACATAACACACCATGTAGCAACAATGCCCTAGGAGGGGCAAGGTGGACACTGTTCTCCCTCAGAATCAGAGGGCAACCCCTTTGAGGGCTGTAGAGAACGCTGGGGTGCAGAGGAAGTTGAGGCTGGATCCTAAAGCAGGACAGGGCAGCAGAGCCGCCCCAGGGCCAGCCCCGCCAGAGCTGGCTGCAGAAGCTTGGTGAGAACAGCCCCTTCCCTTGAGCCCCTTGGTGGTTCAGCCCCACACACCTCTTCCTCTTCCTCCTCTTCCTCTTCTCCCAGAATGCATTCATCAGTGGGCTGGGACTCTGCATGTCCAGGGAGAGAGAGCAAGGCAGGAAGTCAGTGACGAAACAGGAGCCGGGGTGGCCAGAGGTTGCCCAGACTCCGGGGTTCCATGGCACAGGAGCCAGAGCCAAGCAGCACCAGGGCCTCCCCTGAAGCCCAGAGCCCAGAACGCGCGGGAAGGTCCTCGGGCTTCTTTTCGCCCAGACGCCACAGACGGTCACACGGGCCGGCGTCATACCTGCGGGAGCAGGCCCGCTGGAGCAGACCTCGTAGATCTTGTAGGGCTGGGGCGGCATGTCTCGGGGTCCGTCGTAGAACAGGCGGAAGTCGCGGCTTTTGTTAAGGGCGCAGCGCAGGTTGGCCTTCCACTTGGCTGGGTCGGCCTCGTCCACCCCCTCCGTGTACTTGCCCGTCTCTTTAGCCCAGGCCTGTGGGAGGAACAGAGGACTGCGGAGCACAGGGCACCGTAGCTCTCACCGAGGCCCCAGCAAGTCCCTCGTCCCAGCCGAGTCACTGCGGAGACCTTGGCCACCAGGCTAAACCTTGACAAGCTGAAGGCCTTGTCTGTGTTGGGTGGAAATGACCAGGCCTTGGCCAGCCCTCAAGGCTCAAACAAACTCGATGAATTCTCTGCGCGTCTCACCGCTGCTGGGAGGGCAAGCACTACCACGGCAAAGGAACCCGAGAACACGGACCCTCACTCCCAATTGACGGCAATCTGGTGGTGCCAGGATTATAAGCTTTTCTTCTCTTTAAAACTAATGGCTTAATTTTGATAGAATTCACATAGAATATAGAGATATCCACACAAACTGTGGTAAGGATAAAGCATAAAGTCTTTAAAAATATTATTTCAAAGTCTTTTCAGTCAGCATCTGTTCGGTGTAACAAATTTAAACTGGAACTGGGTAACTGAGTTTTACCAAATTCTTCCAGTGGGCTGGTCAATGGTCATGAAGAGTGATGCAGATGGATGTTAGAAACCTAACTCTGATGTTGGGTGAAAAGATGCAGGTTAAAAGTCAGTATACGGGATTGGAGAGATGGCTCAGTGGTTAAGAGCGCTGTCTGCTCTTTCAAAGGACCCAGGTTCAATTCCCAACAACCACATGGCAGCTCACAGCTGTCTGTAATGCCAATTCCAAGGGATCTGATATCTTCACACTAATGCACATAAAATAAAAATTAAATAATTAAAAAAAATTAGTATGTCTGGACCAGCAAAATGGCTCTACCCAGAAAGGCACCTGCCAGCATGTCTGACAACCTGACCTTGATCCCCGGAATCCACACTGTAGAAGGAGAGAATCAAGTCTTGCAAGTTGTCTTCTGGCCTCCACACACATACTATGGTCCCTGCACACTCCCCACAAATAACAAATAAATGAGAAAAACCAAGGCATATGTGTAGGTTGGATGTCCAAGCCCTTTGGAGATAGGGCAGAGGATCAGGAGTTCAAGGCCAGAATCAGCTACATAGCAAGTTTGATGCCAGCCTGGGCAATGCAAGAATACTTGAAGAAATATAAAATAATAAATAAATAAAGCATGGGAGAGGGCTGTGTCGCAGCTTGAGCAAGGATGGCCTCCATCCCTGGCAGTTCTAACCTACATAGTGAGTTCCAGGCCAGCCAAGGTACAGCAACCCTATCTCAAAACATCTAAACAGACGTGACTCGATTCCAGCTCTGCCTACCGTATACCTATACAGCAACCTGAAACATTACAGCTACAGGTTGGGCCTGTCCAGGGTCAGGGGTTGTTGGACATGGCGGTGCACGTTATGATCTCAGCACTTGGGAGGCTGAGGCAGGAAGTTGACAGAGCAAGCCGCCTGACTCCATAAGGCAGTCTGGCCAGCTGGGCGTTATCTAGTGAGACCCTGACTCTAAACCCAGACCAAAACTAAAAGATTTTGTGTTCAAAAGATGAGCTGGTGACTTCACTTAGCGCATGCGTGCACTAGGCATGTAGTTCCGTGTAACAGTAAGTCAGGAGCAAGGCGTGCTACAAGGAGCTACAGGACCGCCCCCCCCCAGCCCTGCTGTCCCCACCCTGCTGCAGGCTACAGATAAGAGACAGTGATCCTGCACCCGAGTCTAGGTACGATGCCCTGAGCACTACAGACAGCAGGGTGGCCCACGCCAGGGGCTGAGGGCTGCCCCAGAGGTCCAGCAGTGCCCTCTTACCTTGAAGATGGTGTTGTCTCCATCCTGGCCAGGGCCGTGCCTTGTGGCGTGGCGCCAGGGTATGTAGAAGAGCTTCCTTTCCCCGTTGACCCACTGGAGCCCCGGGTACTGGCAGCTGTTCACCTGGGCCACCAACCAGGGCTTCAGCCTCACGCGCCGGGGTGGGGGGGGCATGGCTGGGGCCGGCTGGTTCATGGCAAAGGCTCTGCGGGAGACAGCACGGTGGGCCTCTGCAAACTGACGACGAGGGGAGGCGTCTGAGGCCGGCTGCTTTCCAACTCTTGTCACGGCTCGCTCAGCCTGTGATTCCTGTCAGGGGGCGGGAGATTTCTGTGCGAACGGGTGCTGTGGGCACCTTCCTTCAACAGACCACTCATTCCTGAGGTGACGTCAGTTCCCAAGAGAACCGTCCCAGGCCAGGCCACCGAGCACTGTGGAGTCAAAGCTGGCTCCCTTGCATGGCGCTGAGCTGACAGGCACTTCTCGGGGCTGGCTATCCCAGCATGCCTTGTCTGTCTGTCCTGCTCAGCCTGTCCCTCTGCAGCTGACTCCTCTTCCTTTCCCTGAGCTACCCTTCCCCGCAGGCCTCTGACTTAGACAGGAGCAGCGCCTGTGAGTGGGGCTGGGGCGAGCACACACCCGACACCCAGGCCTCTTCTGCCACTTTGTGGCTGAGACCGTGTGTCGCTCTGTTTCTCCTCAGCTCTCCCGCTGGTGAAGCTTTCTTCCCCCTTGACCTCTTGATAGAAATACCAGCAATCCACTCAAATGACACCAGGTACCCAGCTTAGATGGACCACCCTGAAGCCATCAATGTCCTCGATTTTGGTTCCTGCTCCTCTCAAATCCATTCAGAGCTTGGGAAGTCTGTGCTGCTGCAGACCTGTGTGTGCCACGCCCACGGTGGCAGGAAGTGCAGGCCACAGCCTAACAGCTTCCCAGTGGAGGAGGTAAGCCCCCCAGCCAGTCTCTGTCTCACTCCAGTTAGTTCTGTAAAAATAACTTTTACTCTCCTGTTTCAATTGTTGTCTGGAGACTTACTTCCTCCTTCTGCTAGCCTAGGCCGAGTCCCGGAAGCTTCTGGCCTCTGTACCATCTAACCCAGCCCTACAATGTCTTCAGCCTCTGAGACTCACTGCTGAAAGAACTCACCCTTTCTTGCTGGTTCAGCTCAGCTCTTCTGGCTCACACCCCTCTCCCAGATGACTTTTTCAATCTGGCTTTTCTCTTAGCCCCTGAATTGCTCTGCTTGGCCTCAGACTAACTCCAGCAATCTGCTCTAATCTCCTGGATCCTTCTCATTCTCTGGCTCCTTCAATCTTCACCTGAATTCTCTCTCTGCAACCTGTCTCTCTATTACTGGTAAAACTGTCCTCTCTCTCTGCATTGCCCCTTAACTAGCTTCCCTTTCCTCTCTCTTCTCCTGAGAGCTGGGCATATCCTACCCTGTCAAATCTTTCTCTGATTAGTCACCATTTCTGCCACTCAATCAGACATCACTTTCAAACACAGGTGCTTCCTCCCACAAACTATCTTTACCTTCTTTGTTTGGGATTAGAGGCCTGTACCTCCACGCCTGGATCTAAGCGTTTCTTGACCTGAAACTTGCTCTATACCAGCCTGGCCTTGAACTCAGACCTGCTTGCCTCTGTCTCCTGGATTAAAGGCGTGTTTGTATTCCAGCCAGATCACACAGACCTAGAAGGTCTTTGGATGTGATCTCCTGCCAGAACAGTCATGTTCTTAATTAACATTTCTCTACATAGGTCCACAGGACTCATGAAGCTCTGGCACCCTCCTCTTGACAGAACCTGAAACTAAGAGCAGCCTAGAGCTGCCCCTTCCCTGTTGGAGGCCCTGCGGTTTGAGGTTGCAGCCCCTCTCCCCAGCAGGCCTCCTGCTCTCTCCTGACCGCATCTGGAGAGGGTCTTTAAGCATGGATGCCCCTAAGCACATCTGATAGATGGCCTTTGGTACAGCTCTCTGCTAGCTCTCCCCTCCCAGGGCCTATAGGATAATTGGGTACTGTGTTCTTGTTCATATGATAGGACCGTGCTGCCTGATGCAAATCAAGCATCCTTGAAGTGTCTAGTTCCAACCAATCACGTACAGCTATCCTGGGACCCCCCACCCACCCACTCCCCAGGGCCTCTAAAGCCTTTGTTCTCCCCCAATAAAGCTGAACTATCTCCCTGAAGTGGTTCCTGAAGGCTGTTCTGTTGTGCTTGTGGCCTTCAGAGCGCTGTACCTTCTGCTCCTCCTGCTTTGTGGGCTGGTGGCCAACAGTCCCCAGGGACAGGAGAGCCACAGCTGGCGCCCAGCATGGGGCTCCTGACTGCACTAGGACGGTGAACACCCCCTAAAAGCCATCCTGAGAGGACTGGTCGCATTGTGCACCCCACCCCCGCCCCGCGGTAGGGAAAGCCTTTGCTTGACCTTCCAGTCCTTTCTTCACTTGACAGGCTTCTCAGTCCCCGAGCGGATTGCCCCAGGAAAGTTAAACTTGCCTTGGAAACGTCAAGGCCTCTCTTTCTTTCCTAATTATGAGAAACTCAGTATCAGAGAGTTCTCCAAATTCGTTCCCTCAAAGCTTTATTTAAATCTAGAGGGCTTAAAATCTCCCAAGAGGAAGGCTTAGAATTCTGGAATGAGGTGCTCTAATTCACACCTCATTATCTGAGTGATTCTTGTCAGCAGATATCTCAGACCCAAATGTTTGGACCTGTGTCACTTATCTGGCTGGTAAAAGAGAAGCCCAGGAAGGCCAGCCCTGGCCTCTCTTCTTTCCTCCAGTGAGGCTGTATTAGGCAGTGCATGAGAAAAAACCCTGAGCCTCAAAATGACCCATCGGAGGAAAAGCAAGGAAGAGGAAGGACGGGACTCAAATGAGGAGGAAGACCCTGAGAACTGTCCAGTAGCTGATTTAGCCGCTTTAGAAGAAACCACTGACTTAATTAGACAAAGCTACTCCACAGCCCACATCACCCTTCCTCTCTCAGGCCCCGTCTCCCCCACTTACAAGTCTTTACTGGCTATAGCGAACAAAGACGCTGGCTCCCCACTGGCCACAGAGGGCCAAAAACGGAGAAGCAAGGCCAAGGCTCCCAAAAGCCCTCAGATAAGCCCTTCGCCACTCATGCTGCTGCAGCTGCCTCTGGCACAGCCGCCCACTTCACCCCCCACAGCCTAGGACAGCTTCATAGTCACAGGGACTGGCAGCTCTTGTATCTGAGAGTCACTGGAACAGACCCGCTTCTTGCTCTCCAGGACTGGGACGCTCTAACTCCCTCAGCCACAGGACCTAGACAGGCCTCTCCACTGGCCCTCCTAAAACAAAAACCCAATGAAGACCCTCCTGGATTTTATACTAAGGATACAAGCCAGTCTAGACAGAAAGATAACAGACCCTGCTCTGAAGCCATGCTCTGAAACAATCCTATCTGGAATAGGATGACCCCGGAAGACAGGCAGGCATGCTGGGGACTAAAGCGTGAACGTTATGACAAGCGGATTGCAGCTACCCATGATATTGGGACTGCCTCTCACCAGGCCTCCTCTCTGGCCCAGAGCTTTGCAGCTGCAGCTCAGCCTAATTCCAAACGCTTTAAATATGGAGAACAGTCTCTGGACATTGCCAAAAACTGACTCAGCTGCCCTCGAACCTAACAGGGGTAAAACCCAAAACCCTTATCTTATAAAAGCTACTACAAATTGATGATCAACAACCTTAAGACAAACAGAAATGAGTTAACTCCTTCACAAGCTACACTTTCTGTGAAAGAACAAGGGTAAAAATAACTAATAAAATTTAACTGTACCACAGTGGGAAAAGGAGAGACGCCTTAATACCGTACAGTTCAGACTCTTCTAAGTCACGTGACAAGCCTTCTCTGCCATTCTAAGGCTGTTCTTATTACCAAGGCCTCTGTATCTCTCCACAGCTCCTACCAGGAGCTAAGCCTGTGCTAACTCATCATGATGCTGCCTTACAGGAAAAACAAAAAACCACCAAGAACATCCTGCTAGTTAACAATCTCCAAACTGATGTATTCCTTCATGAAAGCAAAGTTAGCATCAAGGACCGAATCTCTAAGCTTCCCTGCCTTGTGCAGTCAATGTCTAAAAGGTTACCAAGACACACAGACAATCCTCTTACACAGGTCACATAACTAACGCGTGTGCCATTCCTCAGATACTCCAGGCAGGTGGGACAAATGACAAAGGATGCTGGACCAGGAAGGAGACTCCCCTAGCACCTGCCCCTGCTCCCCGCACTGCCCACAAACACTCGGGAAAATGCTGCCTTGCTCTCTTCGCCCCCACCTGAGGCCTCGGCTTCCTCTGAGCCTCTACAGTAGACCTTTGCTGACAGTGGTGCTGGTTAGTGCCACCCTCTCTACCCCAGGACCACAGAATACTTCACCGGTCCCCACCTGCCAGCCACCCCGCCCTTCAGTCAAAGGTCTATCCTACCCCCTAACTCGCTTCTAGGCCTAAGCCAACGGATGTGCTGTCAACCAGACCGTTACCAGCTTAACCTGTACTAATTACCTCCTTTTCTTCCTCTGGTGTAGAGAGAAAATAACCTCTCGCAGAGACACCATCTGCCAGGGTGTACCCGCCTGTGATCATTTCACAGGTCTGTCTTTAGGAGGAAGAGGAAACTACCACAAGCCAGACAGAGAGGTATTCATTCCCCCCTGCCAGGACCACAGCCAGGACCACAGCCAGGACAGCTGCCAATCCTCCACACACACCAGACCAGAGACCTCCGGAACAAACAACCAGGCATCTAGGAATGAGCCCCGAATCCCTCCAGCGACTAATGAACTCTCTTACTGGGGTTATGCTCCAAAACAAAAGAACACAGGCCTTAATAACTGCTAACCACAGGGGCTTGCTTGGTACTGGGGAAAGAATGTTAGTTTTATGTAAATGTATAAAATGTTAGGACCAATGTTAATGCCCTCAAAAAGCTCTGTACATACTTGCTACCGAGATGATTCAAAATCCCTTGTTTTCCTAGCTCCTAGCCCTCTGGTCATGTTCGTTTTACTGGATGCTTGCCCCTTGCGTCATATAGTTTCTCCGGTGACAGATTTCCACCACTGCTAGAGTCAGCACCAATCAGGCCGTGGTAAGTTACCAGATCCTAGAGATGGCTATAGACGACAGATTTCTCAAAGCTCAGGATGACACAGGCATTGGAAGGACCCTGCTGTCTGAGGGAGGCCCCTCTCCCCAGCAGGCCTCCTGCTCTCTCCTGACTGCATCTGGAGAGGGTCTTTAAGCATGGATACCCCTAACCACATCTGATAGATGGCCTTTGGCACAGCTCTCTGCTAGCTCTCCCCTCCCAGGGCCTATAGGATAATTAGGTTTCCGTTCATATGATAGGACCGTGCTGCCTAAGGCAAATCAAGCATCCTTGAAGTGTCTAGTTCCAACCAATCATGTACAGCTATCCTGGGACCCACCCCATCCACTCCCCAGGGACCCTAAAGCCTTTGTTCTCCCCCAGTAAAGTTGAACTATCTCCCTGAAGTGGTTCCTGGGAGGTCATTTCCGTCCTGCTCGCAGCCTTCCGAGCCCTATGCCTGGCCTTCTTCTACTCCTGCCTTCAAGGGCTGGTGGCCAACAGCCCCCCAGGGACCAGGAGAGCCACACCTCAGCATCTTCACTCCTGGGAAGTTCTGTCCCTCCCTTGCCCATGCTCTTGATCTTGAACTCTTGGCCTGGGGAGGTCAGAGACAGAAAAGGGGGAGTCGACGGTGCCACAGTGCCTTAGAAAGCAGTGTCTCATTCAGCAGGTGAAGGGAACAAAATCACCAGGCCTATCTGGGATTTTCCGCAAGGAGCCTCAGTTTCCCTGCAATCCCATACAGCATCTATCTTTTGAGTTGTGGGTGCTGCGTGCCACATCCAGGCTAGCCCAGCGTCCCTCTACAGTCCGATGTCAGTGACCCATGAACAGTGATGCCAGCTTCGGTCACAGGCTCCAGCCCTGCCCCCAAGTTAAGAAGACAGTGGCTCAGTTCCTCTTTCTTCGCCAGCCTCCACCCTGACCTAAGGGAAATGAAAGTGGCCCGATGGAACAGCGAAGAAACCTGACTCACTGGGCTGACTGTGGGCTGAGGGCAGGAGGGCACAGAGAGAAAACTCACGAGTCTCTGCAGCACCCCATCCTCTGGAGCGTTCCCTGTCTCAAGCCTCCTCACAACACCTGTGTGTTTACTGACACTCCCAAGAAGCTTTGATCCTAGAATGGAGGGCGATGTTGGCCAGCAGCCGGCAATTCTGACCATAGGAAGGTGGATTCGAGGATAGGCAGGTTACCGAGAAGACCCCACACGGCCAGGCCTGCCTGAAGCTGGCCAAGGGTGGTCTGAAAAGGAGACCAGAGACTCATTCCCCTGCCCCGTGCCTTCAGGGACCAAGAAGGGGCCGAGGACGGATGAAGCTCTCTGTCCCGGCCTGACCTTTAAGTCAGAGAAAGGTTTTGAAATTACTCTGGTCTCCGTGTAAGGAAGCGTCAGTCCCTTGAGATGGAGTGGGGTCATAAAGGCTTTGCACAGCAGCCAGGCCACCAGGGTCAAGAGAAGGCGTGATCACCCGCCATAGAAGCCGCCACCCAGCAAGACCAAGCTCAGCATCCGTCCCCAGACACTCCCTCCTGCCCAAAGAAGGCTTAGGCCTGAGTCAGATCCCAGGCCTTCCAGTAGGCAACTGCAGAGTCTAAACATGGCTGCCCTCTTCTGGGTCTGCAGGTTTGGAGTAAGATGGGTGCAAAAGCCAGACTGAGACCCTTGGCTATGAGCCCTGTAAAGGAGAAACCAACACAACCCCCGCCATCTTCCATGTCAAAATGGGCATGGGCTGCCGAAGACCCCACGCGATTAGGCACAGAGGCAGCCCTTGAGTCCCGGCTAGGATGGAGAATGCCCACAGCCCACAGGGTCCTGAAGTCCCAGGAGAGGTGGCCTGGGCAGTCGGATCACCGAGAGCTCCCCAGAGCTAGTGGGGAGATGCTGCCATAACCGGAGCAATACAGGCAGAACAGCGAACCCCTCCGGTCTCATCCCCACACCCTGCTCAAGGAGGCGGCAAGGGTTACCTGCACCGGGCGTGGGCGTAAATCCGCCCTCTCCAGGTGAGCCGCACGCGGGGCCTGCCCCTGCGGAGCGCAGACAGGCTGAGGTCCCTCCCGGGGCAGCAGGTGCGGCAGGAAGAGCGCTCTCCCAGCTTCCTCCCAGGGGCAGGGTGGGGGAAGGCCAGAGGGCAGGGGAAAGCCCCGAAGCAGGGCTTTTAGTTAAAAGGGGTGCCCTGCTACCCTTTCCGTACCCTTGAGCCAGGAGCTTGGCGAGGAGCGCCCGGTCCTATGGCACCGGTCCTCACCTGAGGGCCTCAGCGACTCCAGCCTCCTTCCGCCCAGCCCGCGACCTTTCTGGTCCCGTTTCCCTACCCCCTCATTGGAGCCCATGCCAGGTCGGTTCCTCGTGATCGTCCCGAACGCTCCACGCGGGGCATAACGCCGGGGTGGGGGGAGGTCAGCCCCCGGGGTTACCGCAGGCGCTGGCTTGGTATCCGTCCCTGCCCCCTCCTCTGCCTGAGGATGCGCCCACACCCCCTCCGCTCTCAGACGCTGTCCCTCCGTGAGTCAGGGGCAGGCTGTCAAGAACCCAGACGGCGCGCGACGCCCCGTCCTTCCGGCTGCTCGGAGAACCGGCCCACAAATGCCTGCCCCTGGCGCTTCGATCCTCGCGAGGGGGCGACTGCTTGAAACCTCAGCCTCCTCCGTCCAAAGAGCGAGGTGTGGCCGGGGAGGAGGGGCAGGCCGTGCGCCCCACCACGGTCCGGGTCGGAGCCCCGCTCCAGGGCGGGCGCTCGGCGCCCTCCACCCCGCCGAGGCTCGCGGAGGAGGGCGGGGGTGTCCGCTCGGCCCTCGGGGCCGGCCCCGCGCCCGCGGAACCACGGCGGCCGCAGCGCAGCCCTCGGGGCCCGCCCCGCGCCCCCGGCGCTCCCCCGGGG